GTAATATTTTTATGAAGCCTGCGTGTGCCTCGATGTCCCCTATGTGCTGCAGAGTTACCTAGTTTTGGGGGGAGGGGAGGTCTGTTTGCTCTCTGGGCAGCATAAAGCACAGGCACCTAGCTGTCTGGGGCTTGGGCCCCATATTAATGGAGCTCTTGAAAAGACAATGGCAAATCCAATTGCCCGTACATGGACACCTAGCAACCAATGACCCACAGAGATATGGATTTCCCTTCCTCTCCACAGCCCACTAAGCCACATCTCCCCAGCTCAGGAACAACAGGGGGAGGAGTGTGAGGTGGAAGTTAATTTGGCTGCAGGAAGCAGTCGGCTGGGGACACATCTGGACTGAGGCAAAGGGAGGTCAGAGGGACAAGGCTTTGGGCTGTGTGCTGACCAGGATGGACTACACTGTAACTTTCTTTTCTCTTTTCAGAGTAGCAGCCGTGTTAGTCTGTAGTCTGTATCCGCAAAAAGAACAGGAGTACTTGTGGCACCTTAGAGACTAACAAATTTATTAGAGCATATGCTTTCATGAGCTACAGCTCACTTCATCGGATGCATAGACATATATGAAGTGGGCTGTAGCCCACGAAAGCTTATGCTCTAATAAATTTGTTAGTCTCTAAGCCACAAGTATTTCTTTTCTCTGTGCTAACAAGGTCTTCCTATGCTGTGTTCCAGGTGACAAACTGTCTGACAACGCCGGCTGAGTGTTGCTACAGATGCGGACGGCGGAGGTGCATTGCTCCTAAGATTGTACAAGTTTCCCTCAGGGGTCTGCCTCAGTTGGACTCACTGAATGGAGCTCACGGTGTGAAGCAGGAGGGCTGAAGGACCAGAGGCCCAGCCTAAGGAGGCGGTGAAGCCATGTGGCTTGCCCAGAAGGAAGAGTGAGACCCCTAGGGGGTCTGGCTCACTGAAGGGGTGCTCCTTGAGACTGCTCCAAAGCTGGGGTCATAGCACCAGTCCTGTGGATCCATGACACAGGGCCCACAAATGTTCCAGTATAAAGAGGCCATGCAGGCAGCTGGCCTGAGCCTATGGGCTGCACATTTCCATACATTTTTTAGAATAAAAATTTTAAGAGGCACCTCCAACCCAAATACGGGCCCTGTGCTCGTCCCCTTAGGGAAAGGTTCAGAGAAGCCACACGTGGTCTGAGTTCCCCCGTGGCAGGAGCCCGCCGTTAAGCAACATTGCTCTCGTGCTGCTATGCAGGGTTTTCACACCTTCCCTCTGAAGCTGGCCACTGTTAAGACACACTGGACTAGAGGGTACTCATATCTGATCCACTTTCCTATGTTCCTATGACAGCTGATAGTCCCAAGGGCTAGCACTCAACAGGCCACATCTGGCCTTCGAGCTGGGCACTGTCCCCCTGTCAGCCGGATAGTACATTTAAGGAGCAGACAGAGGTATGGCACAGTCTCAAACAGTGCTTGTTGAATTCCTTACAGACATCCCTCAAAGCTTTGGGACAGACGCGGACCTAGGCCAAATGCACTCAACTCTAGGACAGTGCCAACTCAGATGCTGACTTCAAAGAAGCGCTCAGGAATTCAGATGCTCCTCTGAGCTGTCCAACCCAGCTGAGCCGCCAGCATCAAAGAGCAGGAACTGGAAGTCTGAGGGAGAGAGTTCTGGGGTGGCAGCTGCTTCTGTCTAGGACCCAGCAGGGCAAAGGGCTGTCTGGAAAGTGGAAGTTACATCATAAATAGATTCCATGCTCCTTTCTAAAGATTTGGAGGAAGGTCTGGGGTGAGGAAGGAGAAGATTCTTGTTTGATCAGTTGCTAGTCTCAGCCCCGTGGGTGCTGGCCCTTTGTTACAATGCTGCCTTCCAGTTAAGACACGCCATGGAGTGGAAACCCAAAACGACCTCTGTGCTCAATTCAAGCAGAGACAAGGGCTGCTTAAGGAACGTGGAGAGATTTGCAAGATGAAGGGTGGGAGAGGTTTATTAATTGGTCTTGCTGTGTCTAATTATTCCTACTAAACCCTTCAAGGGCCAATCTGGACAACGTCCTGGACTCCCATTCTCGGTGACGGGGAGGTGCTCAGCACCACGCAGGATGGAGCCCTTATTCAGCTGATCTAAGAGCAAAGTGCCCCAACTGATCTTACTGCTGGGGGGCCTGGCTTGAATGGAGTATAAGTGATGCTGTTGAATTGTGGGTATTAACCTCTGTGCCACCCTCCGAGCCCAACCCCCTGAGTGGCATGCGGCAGTGTTTTCTGGGCAGTTACCTTCACATACTAGGACATGGCATAAGAGTGGACAGAAATACACAAGCTCAATACCTCACTGCCTTCAAGAAAGAAAGGCTGTTGTGGAGAGCAGCGGGGTGGGAGGTAGTAGGGGGAAGCATTACACCAGCTCTGATGGAGCAGAGTTAGAAGAGAGACAAGAGGATCATTCTCAGGGCACTGAGAGCTCCTGCAAAGGGATAAGTGGGGTGCTGGAGCGGCATGACACAGCCTTCCTCCATGAAACCTAAGAGGAGAGGAAGAGACCAGCTAACAGAGGACAACTGTGACAGCAATCGGGATTCCATGGAGGCCTGGGGGAAGACCTCCGAGAGCAGCCAAGGGCCAGGGAGCTGAAGCAGAGAAATAAATAGAAAACATGAGCTCATCCACCGTGAGCTCTCAGTACAGAGGCAGCTGAAGTACAAACCTGGCCCCATCAGGGGACCTGGCCCGGACTACACACCCAGTGCTGGCATTGAGGCAGGAGGGTCTGTACTTTGGCATTTTGCTGCAGGTGATAGAGGTATTCTCTATTCCCATACTAAGCCCCTGAGCTTGTGCCTAAGGCAGCGAGACACAAGGTTGCGCCCCCACTGGGCCCCCCACGCCCCATCCTTGGGGACACCTGGGCAGCCAGGCTCAGTCCTCCAGGGAGCCGGGGCTTCTGCACCGCCTCCGCGTGGGCAGGGTGCATCCTCTCCAGAGCCACTTGCCTTATTTGGTGCTCAGGAGCTCAGATCCTGTACAGTTTCCAAGCAGTTGCCATGGTGATGAAACGTAACCCAAAATGATGTTATTCTGGCTGCATTTTTCCCCCTCTCAAAAGCCGGCAGCTCTGGGAGCCGGGTTTATGCTGGGTAACATTTCCACAGTCAACACCATTCCCTTTCTTCCCCCCAGCCCCCAATGTGCAGGGAGCTTCTGGGCCACAGCCCCTGCACAACCAGATGAGATTTCCCAGAATGCCCTGAAAGCAACACACTGGGGCATCAATGCTTCCAGTTCAAGTCCCCACAAAGGGGTCCGGGGTTGGGTTCACGGCTGGGAGGTTAGAGGTCAGCATCTCTGTTGAGCTGGTGGTTCTCACTGATGACGGGAGAGGGGAAAGCCCCCAGGACAGAACGGGTGTCAGCATAGCATCACCACATCCATGGCACTCGGGAGCCAACATTTCCCCACAAGGCTTCCTGGGGCCAGTTCCAAGTCCTCACCACACTCCAGGGGGCTGCTCAGATGACCCAGCATCAGGTGTAGGAGTGTCTTCCAGAAGGGAGGCAGAGGGGAAGAACTGGCCACAGATAATCTATGTAAAGAGTTGATCCCCTTCCCCTTCTTCCTCCCACCCTGTTCCCCTCAGAGGGCCTAGGGTGGGACCTGAGGAAGCCAGAGCTCTGCTGCCTCTCACTCCTGGCTGCTGGGGGCAATCCACAGGTGTTCCATGTGAAGCCACACCCCACTCTCCTCAGGTGCCCAGATCTGACCCTTATATGGGAATCCCAGGAGAAAACAAATGGCTCACAGGTAACTATCTGTGAGTGCCCAGGCCTGCTGGGTGAATTCCTCCAGTCCAACCACCTCTGTCCTGCTGGCCAGCAGCTCCAGGACACACACTCACATGAGCCAAGGCTGTTTGCAGCCCCAGAGAGGAGAGATTATTCCAGCCGAGGGGTGGGATTCCGAACCTGTGGGTTTCTCCCAGACTCCGTCCATTTGGGAGACACGGGCAGGAATGAGTGGGTCATGGGCAGCCCCAGCTTTTACCATTTATAGTCAAAGCAAGCGCAGAGCTGTCGCTGGGTCCCTGGAGAGCACAGCTCCAGCCCCCAAAACTCCCAGCTCAGCCCTGGCCTTCATTATTTTCCTTTCATTCTAGTTATCTCCAGGGTCATCTCATGCAGGGAAACTGAAGCCCTGTGGAATTTCTTCCCGGGCCCTATGAGGGCTGTGAACATCCAGGATCGCTTCCTCCTCTTCCCGTCCTCCCTCCCCCTCTGCACACATGCCCCCAAGCCCAAAAGATACTGTTCAAAGCTTTGTAATTGTCTGTGTGGCTGGCCTGTGTGTTAGAGAAGGTAGCTGGAGAAGTGGCGAGCTTCCCACCATGCCACACCCTCTTCCTTATGCACCCACCTAAACCTAAGCACTTCCAGCCCTACTCCTGGCTGTAGACTCTTCTCATATAAACAACCCTGCACATCCCCTTGCAGTTCAACCAGCATGCACAGAGGGAACCAGGCCTGGGAGGAAAGGGGAAAAGCAGGGAAGATGCATCCTTCTTGCTTTCTGGGAAAGTAACTCAGTCAGATCTGAGAAACCAGATGGGGAGGGGGACGACCAGGGGTTTAATGCAGCTGCTGTAGCACTGGCTGCTGCAGGGAGTTTTAGAGCCAGGCTAATGAGCACTAATACAGCACTTTCATCTTCAAAACTGGGGGAGGAGCAGTGAGCTCGGAAAGTGGCATCCGGAAATTAATTCACACCATCGTTGCTGCACTGGCTCCTCCATTTTACCGCTCTGCACACCCAGGAACAAGAGCGTTTTAAAGGGCCAGAAGCCCATTTCTCATCTCAACTGGGCTAACAAGACACATGTTCCCACCCTTCCTTGGAGACCAGCAGGGGCCCTGGGAGAGAGCCAATGTGAGGAGACAGACCATTCCTGGCTCTCCACTCTAGTCCCAAGGGATCCAGCCCCTGGAGAGAACTCTGGGTCATAGTGAATGACAGGGGGTCACTGCCTGGGGTTACCTGCGGGGTTGGTGGCTCTACCTTCCTCTTCTTCTTCTGATTCTGCTTGTTTGTCCTCGGGTAGACGATCAACATCTCCAGCCACCTGCAAACAAACAGAGAACTACAGTAAGGTCCTCCCCAAGGAGCAAGACGGGCAGCAACAGGGGAAAGGCACTGGCTGGACAGCCCGGGAAAGAGCTCGCTCCCAACAGAACTCAGTGTCCTCTGGATTCCCAGTCATTGGGCTGGCCAGAGAGGCACTTGGCTTTTAGATCTGCATTGCTTTAGTTTGCCCCCTCTCGGCTGGGCACAGGGTCATGGAAGATGCTGTCTGAACTCTCAGCTCCTAGTGTAATAACCCTTTATACTTAGCTGCTATTGTAAAAGGATGTGGGGGAGCCCAGAAAATAGGTTTGGGGATAGCACAGAACACCCCCAACTTCACCCCAACTCGGCTTAGAGTCCAGAATGCAATACCACTGGGTGCCATGGATCTATGCCAATACATGTGGACACCTGGAGGTCCTTGGTTAAGGAGTGACTTGATCACAGTCTCTAAGAATTTGATGGAGGGTTCTTCAAGGTAGCAGACAAGGTATAACGTGATCCAATGGCTAGAAGCTAAAGCTAGACAAATTCAGACGGGAAATCAGGTGCAGGTTCCCAAACTTTTTTTACTGCACTCCCCTTCAGAGATTTGTGTCCCAGTGTGTGCCCCCCAATTGATCCTCCCTCATCCCCTCATTGCTTTACCCTCCCCCACCCCCCTCTTCCAGCCTGGGCCCCTAGCAAGCCCCTCTTCCCCCACAGCTGGGCTGCAATCCCTACTGGGCTGTGCCTGCTGACTCCACTCACTGGCTCCAGCTGCTTCCTCCATGCTGCTGCTGCTACCGTCGCCTGGACTCGGGTCCCTGCACCACTGCCACCGGCCCAGCATTCCCCCCCACACACACACACCCTGCATGTGCTGGGGGAGAGGGGGGGGAGTAACAGGTACTGCAGAAGTAGGCTCGCTCTCCAAATCCAAATCCTCCCACCCACGACCCACGCCAGAAATCGTTTCCCTTGTGTGCCAGCTGCTGCCGCTGCACCTGCCTCCAGAGAGGCACTGTCTCAACCAGCTTCTGCTTCCTGGAAAGCAGCGAGGATGCGGGAAGGTTCTGTTTTACCCGCACCCTCCTGATAAGCAAGGGGCACGCCCTCCAGTTAGAAAATCTAGGCTCTAGTTCGAACAGGAATTAACTCTGGGAAGTTTTAGGGCCCGTGTTATACAGGAGAGCAGACCAGGTGACCACAGTGATCCCTTCCGGCTATACAATCAATGAGTCTACATTGTAATAACTGAGCCCACAAATTCATTCCGATTGTGAGCTCAACTGTAAGGAGTCAGTGAAAGTTCATAACCACCTAAAACAAATGCTGATGGAAATAGGTAGAACAGGGAGACAAAGACTGAACGAATCCAAACGGAAAGACCCACTGATATAACTCAAAGACTGTGTTAAGATCATGCCTGGTAAACAGGAAAAGTGCAGGACTGGAAATCAAGGTGTCATGGCATCCAAAACTGGTGCGTTGGAAACGAGGCCTAATTGGTGGACAAGATAACGAGGGAATGGGCTGTTCCACCAATCAGTGGGGGCTTCACAGAAAAGCTTTTGGGGAGAAACATTAGAAGACACAGATGCCGGCTGACAAAGACAGGAGAACAGGAAGGAGTGAGCTTCACCATCATTCCTGGCTGTCACTCCCACCATCTCCTGCTACCCTGGGATCCACTGCTGCTGGATCTTTATCATCCTGAAAGATGTTCTGACCACATCAGACCAAGAGAGGGACCCAGATGACATTGCCATCTTCACTGGCTCTGGCTAAATCCCAACCACCACCCAGGATGTGAGATTTGGTTGTTCCAGCCCCTGTCCTCTTGTGGGTCCTTTTCCTCCCCCATCTTATTTCTTCTTCCGATCTCTCTCCTTCCGCCTTCTGTCTAATAAGAGTCAGGCTTAGTCAGCCACAACTGGATAATCTTCAATACTGCTATCAGCCTGTGACCAAAGAGCCAGCTAAAAGCAATGCTCTAAACAGCCCAGTGCTGATCTCAGTTTGCCAGGCCTCAGTGTGAATAGAAGACTCTGTGCTGTGCGATTGCAAGCGAAAGTCAACGCCAGAGACAGAAGCTGAATTTTCTCTCCTTGCTGTTCTTCTCTCTCCTCTCATGCATGTTTGTCTCGTGTCTTTTAGGAAATGGGATCAGACCAACAGCTCGAGCCCAGCTCAAATCCCTTTCTCCTTTCCCCAAAAGGGCAGTTTTTACCATCTAAGAGACTGTCAAAATAATTCCTTCCAAAGGCTTTCCACAGCTAACGGGAAAGGGAACAAGGGACATTGCTAAAATGAAACCTTCATACTCCAAATTTCAAAGGCTTTAACTGTTTTTCCTTCTTTCCTGTATCTTCAGTAACAGGTTAAAAAAAGATTTTCAATGATGTGTTTGCCACAGTACTAAGCAGGCTGAGGTCTTGTATCCTGAACCTCATAAACAACCACTGTTTAATGTTGGACAGGGACCTGGTCATGTTAACACCTTTGCCTCTTTGGGCCCATATAGTCCATCTAAATTAATACAAGTGTCCCCATCCTGGATGCACAGAATACCCATTCTTCCCTCACCCACTCTTCCCTCCATGAAGAGCAGAGCATGATAGCTCGTTCCAGCTCATAGGTGGGTTTGACCACGTTACCGGTTGGATGCTGTATTCTGAAGCCATATTACTCTGCAAGCAACCTCTCCACTGCCTTCCAGCAATGCAGTGAATGTCATCAGAGCTTGGGTGGCGTCAGCATTTCCATTACTAACCCATATTTTCAGGGGTTTATAACTTGACCATAAAAGCTCCCTCCGAGCAGGAACTTGGTACGCGCAGAATCTCAACTTCTCGGAGCTCATTAGGGACAACATAGCGAACAATACCCAGAAGTTCTGCATCTTCCCAATAGACAGTAACCACAGCCTGAGAAGGAAGAGCTCTTTTTGCAAAGGTTGGGGTTGGGGTGGGGCGGAAGAGACCCAGCCACACAAAGCTACATAGCAACTCAAAAGACATGAAGTGCAGCACAGAATTCCAGGACCACACGGCCCCACCTGCCACCCTTGTCTCTTAGTTTTGAGTTACAGCCCCTCCAATAGAGCTGCGTTGCCAACCCCAAAAGGAACCAGCATTGAGGTCACAGGCAAAATGAGTTTGCTGGGTCTCATCCTAGTTCTTCAAGTGAAGGTTTGGCCTCATCGGAAAAAAAACACAAACCATTTGGCACAGTCCCTTCTCAAGAGAGGGGAAAGACAGGAAAGATACGGGGGGGGAGGGAGGGAAGGGAAGGAAAAGAAGAGACTGTAGGACAGGACCGGGATGCATCAGGGAAACCTCACAGACCAACCTACAGGAATGTATCTGCTAGACAGGGCTGTCTGACTTCCGCTTTCAGCAATGCAAATGTTAACTCCATGCTCCCACTGCATTTTATTGTAGAGTAATCCACAAAACAAACAGAAAGGAAATTCAGCATTAAAAAGGCCAGCCCTTGCCATGAGTCAGTTGTATTGTGGATTCCTTTACTGGCTCTTGTCACGTCCAGATAAGCAGCCCATACATCTCAATCAACCTGGTTGCAATCAGGATCCAATGGCTGCTCCAGATGTTTCGTGCTTCGCTTCACCTAATTTCCTCTCCCTCCCCCCCCCCCCCGGGGTTGAGTGTGTGCGCGCAGCTGTCGCACAAGTTTTGGGACAACCACATCAAGTGGGTTTTGGTGAGGCAATAAATATCAGAAGCACGCAATGGACGTAAGACAACTCTCTGAATACGGGAATCTTAGCAGAGTGCTGCAATTGCAAAAGAAAACTACCATGGCTTGAAACCAAGTGGGATGATTAATGCCATGGTTGGAGGCAAACGCAGAGTTTCAAAATAAGATGCACAAGAAACCAGCCCCACTTTGCTTTGCAGCATGCTGGTCTCTTAGCACTACCCGCAGGGAGCAGAGCGGGGTAGAGTAATGGAAGGCAGAGCTGGATAGTGGAGCATGGGAGAAAGGGGAAGTCAGGAGATACCAGTATCAACTGCGTGACTGGGCACAGCACAGGGATCAGGGGAAGAAGGGAGGGGAAAACATTTTTGCCAATGCTTCAGGGCATGACCAAGCACAGCAGGAGAGTCTTGGGGGAAGCATGAAAGTGTCTGTAACATCGTAGGGCATAACCAAGTGGGAGAAACAGACCCCAAGGGGAGTTGGGAGGAAGGGGGAGGCTGGTATCCCATGATGCCATAGGGCAAGGGAAGAGTCGGAAAGCAGAGCTCAGGGGGAGATCCCCACCTGTATCCAGTCAATATCACCACACAGGGGAGAGAAGGAACCTCCAGTGGAGCAGATGTTAGCTGGAGACCCAGAGCGGGTGAAGCAGGAGCGAGCGCTGTACAACGGGCCCAGGGACACTCTGCTCACTCCCCTCTGCCTCTCACTTTCGGTCTCCTTCAGCTTCCGAACTGATCATTACATGATCAGTCAGAGGTTTATAGAAGTGAGAACACCACCGCCTCCCCCACAACAAGGAAGAGCCCCGTTCTTCCCTGCTGACCTGCCAGCCAGCCCAGGAGCACCTGCCAGCCAGCCCGCCCGGGAGCACAAGTGCAGACAAAGGACAGACATCTAACTATGGTGCCACCTGGATTATGGCTTCAAGATTTTAGTGCAGACAAGGCTGCTGATTAGCCTCCCACTCCACCAAACACAGGACACTACTGGCTCATCCAAGGGCCTTGCTGGCACTCATCAGCACCTCCTCCTGTAAGAAGAGATCCCAGCCTCCCAAATTCCTGTCACTCCCCAGCCTCAGGAAGCGAGTCCCAATCTTAATTAAAAATCAAAGCATCAGCCCCTCTCTACTGGGAGCCCCATTTGGTGCTGGGAACAGAAATCCCATTGGCTGCTCCCTCTGGCAGGAAGAAAGCTCACTGGGGCAGGGAAATCAGAGTTTCTTTGGAGGAAGGTTTGAGAGCAAGGCCTGGCACCAGTGAAGTGGGGATGGAAAAAAACAGGAGGGGG